AGCCGATGTTTAAGTCAGTGCTTTTATCCTCCCAAACGAGTCTGGTACCAATTCACCGACCCCGCAGGGATAGACGGCTTGGTTGGCTTAGGCGGGCATCGATCCGGGATTCAAACTCCTGACCGTGCGCCACTTGCCACTAGATCACCTCCGCCCTCAGATAAAAAAAAATACTCCTCCTATTAGCTAGAATAGCCGGAAGCACTCGGAGGAAGGCGAAGGAAGGTAGTCATAAGCCATTATTAATGTTTTCAGATTGAGAAAATAATGTAATGGCAGCGTATTAGCTTTGTTGGAGAGGCCCTAAAAATAGATACATAGAGTTGGAATTTGATGACATCGAAGAAAGAGCTAAAATTTATATATAGGCAGTGTTCTTATTCTCGACGCGATTCTGATGCTTGGCAAAGAACAGTTATCCTCTTGGAAACTCTCCCTAAGCAAGAGCTCGTTTAGGAAGAAGATAGTAATGAATTTGTTATCGAAATTCAGTAGCCCCAGCCGGCTCCATGTAGTCTACGGTACATTGGCACAAGGTGCCCTACAGGCTCAAGAGGACCATATGGTCCTGAGTTTGCATACTGGATAGCAAAATTCTAAAGAATATCGTACGTTCAAAGAGCTCAATGCTTTCAAAAAGCCCATGAGTTATTGACTGCCACTTCACCGTTATTTTTTCGAGTGTTACTAATAAATGAAACATTTTGAACGAATAAATGAATGAACCACACACGTCGCTTCAATGTACACAGAGCGGCCGTTCCAAAAAATCAGCACCGAAACGCTCAGAAAAACACTGACATTGTCGAGGCAGCCAAATAGTAGATAGATAATCCGGAAAACATGGAATATGTAATGAAGTGACAGACTGTCTAAATAAATGTTAAAGCAAAATTGAAAACACTGAATCCCTATTGGCTCTAACTGTAAGTATAAGTAGGCATAGAAATTGGCGGAGACTGAAATTCTCCGGTATCGAATACATGGCGCATTCTGAAAAGCCTAGACGAACTTTGGGA